GGGCTAGATTTGAACCTGCCACCTTAGGTGTATGTGGCTGGCGCCTTAGCCACTTGAGCCACAGGCGCCGAGCCAGGGGTAATAGACTTTAGAATCTTGCTCTGGCAGTAGGTTTCCTGAGCCTTTGACTCCTAGGAGTTAAGTGCCTGTGCTAAGGAGAGTGCAGAGGGCAAACAAAACCACATGAAATGAAAGTTTTCTTTGTTTTTGGAAGATGAAGAGTCTTTCTCTGTCACCTAGGCAGGAGTACAGTGGTGCAATCATAGTTTACTGCAGCCTTCAATTCCTGGGCTCAAGTGATCCTTCTCCCTTAGCTGCCCAGAGTTCTTCAACTACAGGGATGAACAACCATACCCAACCAAGAAACAAAAGTATTTAAGGAGCAAGCAGAGGTTGACGTAGGTGCCTAGGAGCAAAGGCTTACCAGAGAGTAAGTGACTATGAGACCAGAACTGCAAAGGTTGAACAAGAGAATTAAGGAGGGCCCAGCTCCTTTGTTCTGGAAATGGTGATCATAGCAGCCAACACCCAGCCCAGACTCTGAGCCAAGCACATTATACATATATTCCTTTTTTTACTAGACTTTCCTTTTAAGAGCCATTTTCAGTTCACAGTAAAACAGAAAAAAAGTACAGAGTGTTCCTCTGTATCACAACAACCCCTAGGCCCCCATTTGTCCCCATTGCTGAGCTTGCACTGGTGCTTCATTTTCAACCAAAGCCCGTAGTTGACATCAGGGTCTGTTCTGGGTGTTATACACTCTATGGAGCTTGACAAAAATGTATAATGACGTGTATCGTGTATATATATTAATTTTTTTAAAACCTATGTGGGCAGGCTAGGCGTGGTGGCTTACACCTGTAATCCTAGCACTCTGGGAGTCCCTTAAGCTCAGGAGTTCAAGACCAGCCTGAACAAAAGCAAGACCCTGCCTCTACTAAAAATAGAAAACTAGCCAGGCGTGGTGGCAGGCATCTATAGTCCCAGCTACTCTAGAGCAGGTATGTTCAAACTACAGCCTGCGGGCCACATGCAGCCCGCCTAGGACATTTATCTGGCCTGCAGGGTGTTTTTGCCGCCGTGTGTCCTGCTTAGCAGCCGACTCTGAGGGACAGTGAACTGGCCCCCTGTTTAAAAAGTTTGAGGAGCCCTGCTCTTGAGGCTAAGGCAGAAGGATGCCTTATTCCCAGAAGTTTGAGGTTGTGGTGAGCTATGATGACATCACTGTACTCTAGCAGGGTAACAGAGTAAGACCCTGTCTCAAAAAAAGAAAAACTATTATGGAAAATTGCAAACATCTCCACAAGTAGAGATGTTTCCTGAGCCTTCGACTCCTAGGAGTTAAGTGCCTGTGCTAGGGAGAGTGCAGAGGGCAAACAAAACCACATGAAATGAAAGTGAAGAGTACACAGTCAGCCCCTTATATTCACAGATTCTGTGTCTATGGATTCAACCCATTACTAAGGTGACCAGATTTTAACATTGGTAAAGTGGGATACCATTGAGGGGGGAGAGTGGGGCCTCGGGGGGCAGGGCCTGACAACAATGCAAACTTTGATGAGCAGTTCTCCATAATCAGTTCTCAACAATTATTAGTTATTATTAAAGTTTAACATTATAAAATTAACAAAAATAATATAAAACTCATATCCTGGTGAAATAGCCACATGGCAGCCAAAAACATATTCCCTTACTGTTCTCCTGCATTCCCTAGCTTGTCATGCATTCTTTCCCAAAATCGGACTTTTTAAAAGCACTGCAGGACACGGGAAAAATTGTTAAAAATCAGGACATCTGGCTCGGCGCCTGTGGCTCAAGTGGCTAAGGCGCCAGCCACGTACACCCAAGGTGGCGGGTTCAAATCCCCAGCCCGGGCCCGCCAAACAACGATGGCTGCAACCAAAAAATGGCCGGGCACT